TATTGAAAGCCACTTGTAGATGACTAATCAACACATAATGAGCAAATCATTATTGACTAATTAACATAGAAATTACTCAATCAACAAATTAATACAAAAAGGGTAATGTAATCAAGTTACAATTATCATTAACAATTATAATTATCATTAACTGTTCCTAATTTCTCCCTGTTCGCTATTTTAACGAATCTCAAGCAACATTGCAACTACCCGCCACTGTTATCAGATTTTTAACCCCATTTCTAAAATTTTCTTTCAATGTATCTGAAATATAGCGACCTAACTCGACCAGGTTGAATGCTTCATTTGAAACATTATGTATGTAACGTTCTGAAAAGATTCTCGGAACGCGCACCTATATTTTCCGGTTCTGTAATTATAGCCCTTTTAAAACGATCTGCAAAACACTTCTTTGAAAAATCGTTTTCGAATTGCTGTACCCGAAGCCGGTGAATCTCTCATAGGTTGTACGTAAAACGTTTCGCTTGGTTGCTCATGCGAGTCTTTTGACCCACGGCTGTTGCAGCTCTTTAAGGTGCAGTGATACGTTATCTCAAGATGTTACAGAGCTGGTTGCACTTTTTTAAAACTGGATCATGAATAACCTATATCGTTTGGTACGGTTAATTTGGAATTCACCTATCTACAATTTAATTCCTCGTTAGAAACAAATGCAAAAGACATTTCTTTAAACGCTTCTTTGTTTTACATAAATTAATTTTTTGGTTAATGATGGCTTAAATTCAAGGTAAATATAATAAATATAATATAATATATTAAATATATATATATATATATATTAAATGTAATGAAGTATTAGAGTATTAGATTTAAAATCAACAATTTGAGAAAAATATTTTTTGTTTGAATTTACGACTTTTATTACCCCTTGTACTCGAAGATAATTTTATTATTTGCAAACAGCAACTTTAAAATATTAATTAAAATTTTAAATGAGTTCTTTTGAAGTTATTATTTCTCTATTAATAATTTCCATTACTGTCTATTTCACTATGTTTATGCATCATATGAATACTATTATAGAATTAAATAATGCTTATTTCAAATTGTTGTATTAAATCGAATGGCGCCTGAGAGGTGCCTCTCGAGCGCAAAGGGTTAACATTTCATCTATAAGCTCGAAATATTGGAAATCTCGAAATATCAAAGTTCGAAACATTGAAACTTGAAATGTTGAAACTCGAAGTATCAAAAAACTCGAAATATCAAAGCTCGAAACATTGAAACTCGAAATATCGAAAAACTCGAAACATTGAAACTCGAAATATCGAAAAACTCGAAACATTGAAACTCGAAATATCGAAAAACTCGAAACATTGAAACTCGAAATATCGAAAAACTCGAAACATTGAAACTCGAAATATCGAAAAACTCGAAACATTGAAACTCGAAATATCGAAAAACTCGAAACATTGAAACTCGAAATATCGAAAAACTCGAAACATTGAAACTCGAAATATCGAAAAACTCGAAACATTGAAACTCGAAATATCGAAAAACTCGAAACATTGAAACTCGAAATATCGAAAAACTCGAAACATTGAAACTCGAAATATCGAAAAACTCGAAACATTGAAACTCGAAATATCGAAAAACTCGAAACATTGAAACTCGAAATATCGAAAAACTCGAAACATCGAAACTCGAAATATTGAAACTCGAAATATCGAAACTTAAAATATCGAAACTCGAAATATCGATGTATCGAAACTCGAAGTATCGAAACTAGAAACATCAAAAAACTCGAAATATCAAAGCTAAAACTATCAAAATTCGAAACATTGAAGTTCGAAATATCGAAACAAAGTATTGAAACACTCGAAATATCGAAGCTGGAAATACTGAAATTTGAAATACTAAAACCTGAAATATGAAATTTGAAATATTCAAACTTTGAATATTGAATAAAATATAACTATTCTGCATAGTTATCATCATTTAACCGCCATTGTTATCAGTCGTCATTAAATCCTATCCCAATCTTCAGTACTTTAAATGAGTTCTTTTGAAGTTATTATTTCTCTATTAATAATTTCCATTACTGTCTATTTCACTATGTTTATGCATCATATGAATACTATTATAGAATTAAATAATGCTTATTTCAAATTGTTGTATTAAATCGAATGGCGCCTGAGAGGTGCCTCTCGAGCGCAAAGGGTTAACATTTCATCTATAAGCTCGAAATATTGGAAATCTCGAAATATCAAAGTTCGAAACATTGAAACTTGAAATGTTGAAACTCGAAGTATCAAAAAACTCGAAATATCAAAGCTCGAAACATTGAAACTCGAAATATCGAAAAACTCGAAACATTGAAACTCGAAATATCGAAAAACTCGAAACATCGAAACTCGAAATATTGAAACTCGAAATATCGAAACTTAAAATATCGAAACTCGAAATATCGATGTATCGAAACTCGAAGTATCGAAACTAGAAACATCAAAAAACTCGAAATATCAAAGCTAAAACTATCAAAATTCGAAACATTGAAGTTCGAAATATCGAAACAAAGTATTGAAACACTCGAAATATCGAAGCTGGAAATACTGAAATTTGAAATACTAAAACCTGAAATATGAAATTTGAAATATTCAAACTTTGAATATTGAATAAAATATAACTATTCTGCATAGTTATCATCATTTAACCGCCATTGTTATCAGTCGTCATTAAATCCTATCCCAATCTTCAGTACCAAAATGTGTCACGCTCTATCTGATGGTCGTATTGATCGTCCTCCTGTCGACATCCGTTTCCTGTTCCCTATTTCCATACAATGGACACAGCACGTTGGCAAATATAGATCGTCTGTGCATTTAATGAGACTCTCGCTATCGGCACCCCAAAAGGGGGTCGTAAACCTTCTCGACCTTATTTTCTGCGTCAATAATCCAGAAAACACTTGGCGCGAAACATCTCGTCGAAATTACGCGCTGTGCAAATCAAAAATTCTCTTCTATGGATTTAACTGGAATATTCTGCCATTTTCAGGTCGCGCCGGTTTACTTATGTGAGATTTTCAACTTTTTATTCGACGTTAAGGAGATTGCATTGAACGCGGAATTTTCTTTCTCTCAGGAAATCAGAATTTACTTCGTACACTAATTGGAATAGTTTGCTATACTTAAATTTCTACTTTTACTGTAAATATATCATGCATTTACAATTTACTTGTAAATATCCTGTAGATTCAAGCAATTATTACAGTATTTATTTATAAAGAAGTTTTGTTCAAAACTATATAAGATTTGTAAATAACAAATATTGAATTTTGTAGTAATTTTAAATAGCTTTCTATTACTTTATTAATTTTTATTACTTCGTAGAGATCTGATTGTTCTCCGATTGAAGAATGGTTCAGTTAACAGGTCTCATAAAATTTTCACAATTTCATGCATATGAAATTGTCTCAGAGTTCTTTTTTGTTTCATGAAAAAGTTAAATTTGAGTTAGTATTCTCCAGCTTCGTTTATCACCTCGGATCGATGGACGTTGCTATCTTCGTAAACGCCCACCGCATCCTTTACAGTTTTATTTAAAGCAATGGAGTCAGGGTTTATCAGGCATGTAACATTAATGATTACTATTATATCTCGACCTTCAACGAAAACGATTCAACCTGGTCGCGTGAGTGTCCATTCAGTTTTATCTTGCCGTTTATCCCTGAGAACTTCGACCAGGTCAATGTAAAATTACTTTTCCTTATTTCCTATTCGATAATTATTCCCCTCGAACATTACAATTATGCTTCTAGTTCTTCCTTTCCGTATTCATGTTTTTACAATTTTCTGAAGTGCGTGTAATAATAATATTTATCCAGGGCAATATTCATCCTCTTTTTGCGAGATTAAACCGGAATGATAATATCGAGCATTTAAGTTTGAACTTTTTAGACTTTTGTATTTACACGCAGGGGTATTAAACTTGAAAATTATTGTTGCAATTTATATTTAAATTCAAGCTCAATGCAAATTAGGCAGAAAAATATAATGCTACTTTGTAGGATAATAAATTTCTACGACTGATATTTATTTTCTTAATTAACAGTCTGCAATGTGTACGCATGCAGGAATAGGCGACTCATAATTTAGTTGCATTGCAACCTTACACGTAGTTAATTCTGTTTCTAATTGATGTGATCACTAATAAACAATTTCATGGTCAATTTTGTAGATTGAGACTTGTTTTTTTTATTAAAAATTGAACTACTGTAAAGTAGACATCATTTTGATATCACACTGATGAACTCAGTTAAGTACATACATGTTTTCATAAAAATTTAGGTTTTGATAGCAATGAAACATTTTTAGTGTAAACCAAATGTTTATATTCGTTCATATTTTTATTTAATTATTTAGTTCATGAAAACTTCATTACATATAAATTTGTGTGGTTATCTGTTGAAATAGACAATGGTGTAACATTATCTACTTTTAATTACTTTATAAAAATTGAACTTAATAATTGTCAAAAAAAAATTATAACCCTTTTAAATGTTTTTACATACAATTATTTTGTGTTCTTTTAAATAGAACCAATTGTCAAATTTTAATTAAAGAATCAAGTCAGTATATTATTTTTGAAATTTTAAAAATGAAAAACATTTCAGTTGAATTATTTGTTAAAATTAATATGACAGTTGCATGAAAAGTTATTGCACCGTCAACAAACATTGTAATTCAAATTATACGTTGCACACCCACGAGTGCAGCGTCCTCAAGCCTCCATTTGCATTTCGATGCAAATATCGTACACTGCTGGGTAAACAAAGCACGCAATTATCGCGTGTGCGTCGAAGTGAAAGGTTGCCAATGAGCAAAATGAGAAAATGGGTCCCCCTTTCAATAAATGTTCTTTTGCAACGTGTTCGACAAGGCGAAAAGAAATTATTCGTACAGGTTTCTCCGATACAGCTTGCGAAAATATTCTCAGCCACGATATTATGCAATTATCGGTAAACAACATCCACTTACCCGTCGCTCTTCTTCACGAGCAGCTCTCAAATGAGATTCTATTGCGTCCAGGTCGATCTTCGGCATCGCTGTTTCGATGTTGTATACGTCGAAACCACCTTTAATTGAGAACAGAAGGAATTATGTAAATGGGAATATTTAACAGATAACAGATAGAAATTTGAGAAATGTGAATGTTCAATTTTTTGTATTGTAGAAGAAGGAATTAACCTATACAGCACTTCAGTTTTATTTTTAAATTAAATTTTAACTATCTAGCACTCTAATTTTCAATATTAAGTTAAAGTCTTGACATAAGTTTAAGTCTTTTTTTAAAGACTTTTTAACATTCTAAGTATCACTTTTAATTTTAATTTTAACAATCAAAGTTGCATTTTTATAGACGTCCTTTTAATAATAGATTTGAATGATTCACTTATAAATTATTATAATGTCAAGTGGCTCTCAAGATCTTCATATACTTTCATTTAAGATCAAATAATTTTACTATACATAATATAATATAATTATAAATTACAAATATATAGTGCAATATAATTATACAGAACATAATTTTGTAATTGAATTTATTTGACATTAACATTTGTCTCTTGATGTTGAAAATTTGTCTTTTGATATTGCAAAAATTTCAAAAATTAATGTATATAATTGTATGACCATTTGATAAAAAAAGGAAAATTGGATAAAAATCAACACAAACTTTTTAATTTATTTTCACATTCTTGGTATTAATTTAATACAAGAGAAAGTTGTGATATAAATGAAAGAAACCGATGATTCACAACTAGAGGAAACATGATTGCACACGTAATCTGTAATGCTTGCAACAAAAATAGAAGAAGCTGGAATGAATCTTGCGAAAAGAGGAAGATGATTTCTCAAGTTCCGTGAATGCTTTTGTCAGTTAAATTGTTTGATTATCGTCTTCTATTCAGGTTACAGTCAAGATTCTCTTGAAATGTGAAATCTAGAGCCGTGACTATGCCATGAGAGAACATAGTGAACGAAGAAGCGCAAATGCATAACCATAGCGAAAGAACTTGTGATAGATACACATGGTAGTTTTATTGTTATAGAGATTACGCTAATCGCTCGAGTTTCCTGTGCACATTGGCGTAGTTCCTACACTTTTAAGTTTTTAAATCTACGAGTTTTCAAGTTAAAATCTTTTAAATTTTCAAATTTTAAGATATCTGAGTTCTTAGGTTATTGATTCTATTAATTTTTAGATTTTCAAATTCTTAAATTTAAAATTGAAAATTATTTGATTTTTTTATATTGAAGTTTCATGAATTTCCAAATTCCTTAGCTTTCAAATTTTTAAATTTCTGAAGTAATAAATTAATAAATTAATAAATTTCCAAATTTCCAAATTTTGAAATTTTCAAATTTCCAAATTTCCAAATTTCTAAATTTCCAAATTCTCCAATTCTCCAATTCTCCAATTCTCCAATTCTCCAATTCTCCAATTCTCCAAATCTCCAATTCTCCAATTCTCCAATTCTCCAAATCTCCAATTCTCCAATTCTCCAATTCTCCAAATCTCCAATTCTCCAATTCTCCAATTCTCCAAATCTCCAATTCTCCAATTCTCCAATTCTCCAAATCTCCAATTCTCCAATTCTCCAATTCTCCAAATCTCCAATTCTCCAATTCTCCAATTCTCCAAATCTCCAATTCTCCAATTCTCCAATTCTCCAAATCTCCAATTCTCCAATTCTCCAATTCTCCAAATCTCCAATTCTCCAATTCTCCAATTCTCCAAATCTCCAATTCTCCAATTCTCCAATTCTCCAAATCTCCAATTCTCCAATTCTCCAATTCTCCAAATCTCCAATTCTCCAATTCTCCAATTCTCCAAATCTCCAATTCTCCAATTCTCCAATTCTCCAAATCTCCAATTCTCCAATTCTCCAATTCTCCAAATCTCCAATTCTCCAATTCTCCAATTCTCCAATTCTCCAATTCTCCAATTCTCCAATTCTCCAATTCTCCAATTCTCCAATTCTCCAATTCTCCAATTCTCCAATTCTCCAATTCTCCAATTCTCCAATTCTCCAATTCTCCAATTCTCCAATTCTCCAATTCTCCAATTCTCCAATTCTCCAATTCTCCAATTCTCCAATTCTCCAATTCTCCAATTCTCCAATTCTCCAATTCTCCAATTCTCCAATTCTCCAATTCTCCAATTCTCCAATTCTCCAATTCTCCAATTCTCCAATTCTCCAATTCTCCAATTCTCCAATTCTCCAATTCTCCAATTCTCCAATTCTCCAATTCTCCAATTCTCCAATTCTCCAATTCTCCAATTCTCCAATTCTCCAATTCTCCAATTCTCAAATTCCCAAATTCCCAAATTCCCAAATTCCAAAATTCCATAATTATCAAATTTTTAAATTTCTAAAATTCTCAAATCTTGAATTCTCTGAATTTCCAAATTTCCATACTCTTAGCTTCCAAAATTACCCAAATCCAAATTTCCAAATTCTCACATTCCAAAACCCCCAAATTTCCATATTTACAAATATTTAATCTCCCAAATTTGCAAATTCTACAATTTACAAATATTCAAATTTCTAACTTGTCAAAAATTCTCAAATCTTAAAATCTTCAAACTTTGATCCCTGCGAATTTTCAACTTCCTAAATTCTCAAAATCTCAAAATGTCCAACTAATTTCAATAATTTCCCACATCCTGCGCTCTACATACGCCAATGTGCACATATGTATATAACATACATAAAAACAGCAGTAAGTTTGACTGTGAGATTATGCGTATCTCAGTCACTGTGTACATACTTAAACATGTATACCCACGTGCTATATTGTTTTTCGAGTTCTACCGTAAAATTTCACTACTGTTATGCAATAGTGAATTAAATACAGTCGTTCCCGTTGGTTAAGACATAAGAAATGTAGAAACTTCCAAGTTTCTTTCAACGAGTTTGTATAAAATCGGATGTTGTAATTATAAGTTTCAAATGTAAACAAATACTGAGAATTCCATTAAAGCGACTGTTCTTAATTACTATTAGAAACATTTGTATTTAATAGAAGGACAACTCTTGTTTTATACGGAAATTTAACTTTCTACATTTTCTTACACGAACGTCATTCACATTATATTGTATAAATTACACTTTTTATATTATAAAATTATATGTTATCGTTTGAACATTGCAAATGTGCAATATTTCAGGATAAAATACTCCAGAGCTCAAAAAACTGTAATTACAAATTTTTGCTAACTTCATTAATCAAAAATGTGTACTTATGTTTGACAAAACTCAAGAACTCGAACAAATAAAAAATTGGTAGTTTCAAAATAGTATTAACTTTGCAAAGATATAAAGTGTTTTCTTCCAAAAATAAAACATGTGTTCTTTCATGGCAGACAGAGACAAAAGGACGTTACCTACATTCGTTATGTCATCAATAATAATATATTATTCAACACATAATAATATATTATTCAATACATAATAATTCTACGTTGCCTAATATACTATTCACAACATCGAATGCAATAACATTGCTTAAAATTACGTGTATGCTGTGGTAGCTTCTACATTTAATTAAAATTTCCATCAATAAAAAGCTAAAACAGGAAAGATACCTGGTCCATTATCCACATCAGCTCTCCTCTTATCAGGACGTCTGTGGGCATTCGAGGATCTAAGCTGCTGTTGTTGTTGTTGCTGTCTCCTTTTCGCTTGGTTCCTCGCCATCTTCTCTTTCTTCCTGGTATCGGCGCTAGATGCCTCCGGGAGATCACGATCCAACAATTTGTTCGTATCCTCGATGTTGTCTTTCATCATGTTCAGGGAGGATCGCGAGGACGCGTGAACAGGGTCCATTGCCTCCATGGCGACCACGTCGGGTACCGGTTGCACGTATTTCTCGAGATCGACCCCGATGTCCCGGCCGATGCTCGATAACAGATCGATCTCCTCGAGCTTCGTGTAGGTGGGTTGCTCTTCGGGGTAACTGTCCGTGTCGGTGTTGCTTTCCGAGTCGTCGTCGGCCGAGCCGTTCGACGTGATCGTCTGACGGTTGCCTATTTTGGAACGGGCCTGGTGAGGCAATTCCTTTGCCTCGCGGATCAGGTCGATGTGCTCCACCACGATATCCTCCGTCTGAAAAAACAGGATGCATGTTAGATCATATCCATACGTGGTTTATTATCTTATCGTGTTGGGTTTGTTGCATAATATCATCGAATATTTGAATGTCGGTAAAATTTCATTTTAAGATTTGGATACTTCACATATTAAAATTTCATTTTGATATTTGGATACTTCACATGTTAAAATCTCATTTTAATATTTGGATATTTTACATATTTCGACAAAGCCGTATTTGAGGTTATGTAGTGTGGTTTTCGATAAAAAATGGCGTCATCGATCGAAATGGATACCGGTCATTTTGTGATTTTGACTCTGAGGTACATGATTGTAACGAAAATAAAAGTGTAAGTTTTACCGAATTTCTTTTTAATACAAAAATATCGTTAATCTTTTTCAATACAAAAATATCGTCAACTTTGTAAAATACAATCAAGCATAAAAGGATAAGCAAAAGGTAGGACAGGTTCTAACATACCTAACCTCAAAGAGTTAAAGAACCTCTAAAAATAATATCTAAGCAGATTGGATTATTTGAATCTGGTTGAAACTTGATTTTGAAATTGTAATACATCGAATAGTTTGAATACTATAAATATTTAATTTTGTCAGAGTATTTGAATATTCGAAATGTTCGAATTTTTAACCGTACTCGAATTTATAAAGTACAGTTGTTGCTAATAGGTGACGTCACCAATAAATGTAGATAATATCGGTTATTTTGTGACTTCATTTGAAGGTTATCTAAAAATACTCTAATGAGTAAGCAAGGTCGAGTAGTCCGACATCACTAAAATCATAACAAACTTGCAAATGGTTTAATTTTTGCATTAAAAGTTAAATATTTCTAAGAACAAAATAACTGATATCGATTTCAATTAAAGTTGAATAAAATTCTTGAATTTCGATTTCAGCTAAAATTTCAATTAATTTTAAAATTTCATGGAATAAAATTCTACAATAAACTTAATTTCCCATTAATTTTAATATTAATTTAATTATTACTCGTATGGTAAATTTCTGGTATATGTACATAAAAAGATTTTCCAACTTTGGTTCGTTGTTAGAGAATCGAGGACGACCTGTATTTACGGTAACTGCTATTTAATGTCACAAAGTAGACTTGAGATCGTGACAAAGATTCAGGAAATTTGCGATTAACTTCCACACGTAGGTACAGTCAAGAGCAAATCTGATTTCTCTAGAAAAAATATGATAATCGAGGAGAAGGCTTTTCACTTATTGAACCTTAAGGATTTTCTAGTGATTTTAAAATGTAGAGATTTAACAATTTTGAAATCTGCATATTTAGGAATTTATTATACAAATCTTGAGTGGAGGAATTTGAAGATTTGGATACTTGAAAAGTAAGAAATTTGGAGATTTGACAATATTTGAAATTCGATATTTAGAAGTTTGGAAATTTAGTAATTTGAATATTCAGAAATCTAGCAATTTGGGGATTTGACAATTCGGTTACCTAGAAATTAATGAATTTGATGAATTCTGAATGAATATGAAAATTGAACAATATGATAATTAAAAAATTTAAAAACACGAGTATAGAAATTATAAAACGCATACGCATCCTTATTCAAAGAATAATATATTGCACTCGAGTGTACATACGTGACACGAAGGTAGCTAATTGTAAGTAACATCGTCGTTTCAGAATGAAGAACGCGATCTGCACGCGTGTACGGCCATTATTCTTCCATACGTACACTCGGAAGCGTGACACCGGCGATATAAAATGAATTCTCGCTACTCTCAATTGCGCGTGCCTCAGAGATCATTTGCAATCGTGACTGGTATTTAATTTAAAAAAAAGCCTTTCACTAAGTATCACCTCTTAAATAGACGATTACCAAGTACTTCAAGGCGAACGCAATTTAATCTACGCGCGACAGAGTTTCATGAATTCGGTATGCGTCGCAAATTACGAATTTGATAACTAGTATTTTTATGCTAATAGTGTTCATAAATATTTGATGTAATTCGATGTATATAGCACTAATTTCAGTAACTTCAGTGAAACCTCCGGAATATAAAAATGGAGGATGAAATGTACATAGAAAGAGCTACGAAGGGAATACAAAATGAATCTCTTTGAAGCGAAAAAGAGGGACATGCGTATCGCTAATTATGTGGTCCAAGTAAAAATTCTGCAATAATTAAATCTTCCACTAATTGCATCATTAGCAAGACAAACGTGACCCGAATTTCGTCCAACCACGAAATCAACTAGGTTGCCAATTTACTTTGAAAAAATTCTACGGTAATTAATCGATGTACAAACAACTGAGAAGTTTAGTTTCTTTAGAACTTAATTAATGTAGAACATTTTTAAACTAACCTCTCCAACCTCACTGGTTTTCCCGGAGTCCGGTATCTCCTCGATCTCTGGAAACTGTAGAGTCTCCTTCACACTGGTCGTCAGTTCGACGATCTCGATCTCAACGGGAACTTCACGCTCTTGTTTTTCCTCCAACTTTGTCGTTGACAGTTCGGTGCTGTTCTCCGTCACTGGGTCAAGGAGTGTTTCTTCATCGCCAAGAGACAATTCCCATCCCTTTACAACACCATCAACTAAGATCTTTTTCCAAGCTTTGAGATATGGTTCCGCTTCGACACCCTCGTTTGTCACATCCGATTTTTCAGACACTTTTTCCTCGGTTTTGGCTTCGTCAGCGATACTTTCCTCTTTGAGAGACTCCGAATCGCACGAGGGTGGGGTCTGCAAATAAAGTTTATTCAATGTGTAAGGTTTTTATTTTGATAAAGTAGCTTTGGAGTTAATGGTTAGGCTTTTTGAGAGATGTTTTATCAGAAGCATATGATCGAGTCGTAGAATTGCTAGCGATTTGCAGCTGAAATTAGTGCGGATGCTGCAGCAGAAATGTCTTTGAAAATGGCCTTTGTTTGATAAAATCTTGAAGTACAAAAATTTTCAAGTTTTCATTTTTTAAACATCCAAATTTTCATTTTTCAAAAATCTCAATTTTCAAATTTTTGTTGTACGAAAACCTCAATTCTCAAATTTGTTAAAGAATCAAATTTCAAAGTGTTCATTTTTCAAAAACCTAAGTGCCCCAATTTACATTTTCTGAAAACCCAAATTTCCAAATTCTCATTTACCAAAAATTCAAATGTCCAAATTCTCATTTTGTCAATACTCACATTTCCAAATTCTCATTTTCTAAAAACCCAAATTACCAAATTCTCATTCATCAAAAATCCAAACGTCCAAATTCTCATTTCCTAAATACTCAAATTTCCAAATTCTCATTTTCCAAAAACCCGAACGTCCAACTTCTCATTTCCTAAATACTCAAATTTCCAAATTCTCATTTTCCAAAAACCCGAACGTCCAACTTCTCATTTCCTAAATACTCAAATTTCCAAATTCTCATTTTCCAAAAACCCAAACGTTCAACTTCTTATTTCCTAAATACTCAAATGTCCAAATTCTCATTTCCCAAAATCCCAAATTTCCAGATCCTCATTCACCAAAAATACAAAGGTTCATATTCTCATTTTCTAAATACTCAAATTTTCAAATTCACATTTCCCAAAATCCCAAATTTCCAAAGCCTCATTCACCAAAAATACAAAGGTCCAAATTCTCATTTTCTAAATACTCAAATGTCCAAATTCTCATTTCCCAAAATCCCAAATTTCTAAATCCTCATTTACCAAAAATACAAAGGTCCAAATTTTCATTTTCTAAATACTCAAATTTCCAAATTCTCATTTTCCAAAAACCCAAATTACCAAATTCTCATTTACCAAAAATCCAAACATCCAACTTCTCATTTCCTAAATACTCAAATGTCCGAATTCTCATTTACCAAAATCCCAAATTTCCAAATCCTCATTCACCAAAAATACAAAGGTCCAAATTCTCATTTCCTAAGTATTAAAATTTCCAAATTCTCATTTTTCAAAAATCCAAACGTCCAACTTCTCATTTCCTAAATACTCAAATGTCCAAATCCTCAAATCCAAAAACTCCTCAAAACAAAACTTGACAAAATTTGTACCGTCCCCTGCCTCGTCTGCTCCAAACCAATTCAAGTATTGTTTATAAAACAACAAAAAAGGAGAGGAATAGGATACAAATTTCGGAACTGACCTCGACTTTACTGCTCTTTCCCGAATCCAGAATATCAAAATACTGTGGAGTTTCTTTTACACTGGCCAGTTCATCGACCTCAGTCTCAACGGGAAGCTTTCGTTCTTGTTCCTCTTGCAACTTCGCCGTTGACACTTGGGTGCTGTTCTCCGCAGTTGGGTCAGGGAGTGCTTCTTCATCATCGAGCAACTCCCATCCCTGTACAACACCATCCACTAAGATAGGTTTAAGATACGGTTTCGCTTCAATCTCTTCGTTTATCACGTCTGATTTTTCTGAAAGCCCCTTTTCTTCTGTTTCTGTGTCGTCAGCACTTTTAGCGCGATTTATACTTTGAAGCAACACCGGTGTGAACAATTGTGAAGCTGTCTGGAAGCAGAATCGGATATCGGCTCAATATTCTGGGGAAAACTATACTAATACTAACTAATTGCCGATATCGACCTTTTTCACGATTGATAAGTGTGTAATTTATGTTGCAAGGTTTTATTTGGAACAGTTATTGGACTACTAAGAATATTAAACACGCGGTTTTTGGATTTTGGTAAATGACTATATTGGGGTTAGAAATCTCTCAACGGCGAATGATTTGAATATTTGAGAATTTGGGAATTTTGATATTCAGGAATTTAGAGATTTAGAAAAGTAGGAATTTAACGATCATTTTCTAATAATTGAAATAATATAGAAAAGCTTTCCATTAAATTTATTTCGTACTGAATTTCAGTTCTCCATTATCTGCTTCAAAAATGTACTATTTCCTCAATAATTTCCTAGTGATTTCTTCCTATAATCTATTATTTAACTTTCTTCACCGCAATTTCAGTGAACAATTCAATTTTTGAATATTATAAATTATGTATACGTTACATATGGTACACATGAATTTTGGAAAGACACGACACAAAAAAGTTGGGAAACACTGCTTTAAATGATACTGATTGCATCAATTTAGGGGACTAAAAAAGCGGGAATGCGGGATATAAAGGAAACTATAAATACAACTCGAGTTGGAAAGCAGAGAGATTGAAATCTAATTGAGTGGTGTAAAAAGTATCTTCGACTATCCGAGGTTATAGCTGTTCATAAATGTAATTAAAGTTGGAGCTAAATTTAGATGCTGTTTAATCGTTTAACAGGTCTGCTTACGGAACATCTTTGCCATTCAGTGGCGTCTGGTCTTCAAATGAAATTTACAGTTATGGATAACTGATAGGTTACGTTTCTATGTATTTTGATATATTCGAGTTTTGAAATTTCATTTTGAGGAGCTTATTTTGATTATGTTGTCGGAGATCTTGAGAAGATTTGTTTTAGTATTAAAAGCTGTTTTTTGTCTGTGAATGATCTGCTGAATAAGTGGTCAGTAGAGTGTAATTTATATAACAAGAAAAATTTCTGAATTTATAAATTATTTTTTTAATTTAACAAGTTTCAAAATTCGTATATGTTCAAATCTCTAAATTTTTAGATTTTTAAATTTGAGAATTTTAAAATTTGGAAATTTGCAAATTTAGGAATTTGGTAGCTTAGAAATTTGAAGATTTGCAAATTTAGGAACTTGAGAACTAAGAAATTTGGAAATTTGGACATTTGCAAAACTTAGGATTTACGAAATTATTAAATAACTAAATTGGAAAATATGAAATCTTCCAAATTGTAAAATTGTAAAATTCTCACGTTTCCTATCCTTAATTGTCTAAATTTCTGAACATCCAACTACACATATTGTCAAATCTTTAAATTCCTAAATTTCTGAACATCCAACTACACATATTATCAAATCATTAAATTCCTAAATTTCCAAATCCATTTCCCATCACCAATGTCCACTAAATGTCTAACTTTCAAAATTATTAAATTTCCCCAAAATTCTCCCAAATTCCTTCCCACCGAAGTCTCCATATATCTCTGTCAGTCACTAAACACAATTCTTCCGAGCAAAAATCTCATCTGCCATTTTCAAAGCAAGCATATCTCCCTCAACCAACAGGTTATTCTCCCCGACTAGAAATCCGATCGTCGCAAAAACAAACACCAAGGCAGACACACATTACAGCGAGAAGCAGTGAAAATCCAATTACCGGTATTATATAAGGTTTCTTGTAAAAGTTCTTCTTCTCGTTCTCCTGCACGCACAGGTAGTTGTCCTCTTCGGTAAGTCGCGTGTCGAAGTCGTTGAGCCACGGGTAATCCAGTTCGTCTTCGTTCAGATGCGTTGGCCACAATTGAGACGGTTTCAGGTGTTGAAAGCCTAAATAGTTAGGGTTGACGATACCACGCCAACCAGAAAGAGGACTTCTTTCCTCGGAACAGCCGGACCAATCAGGCGGTGTCCACTCATGAAACGAGTCTTCGCGAGAAGAGTTACGCCCTGCGGAATTTCATGCTCGTTGCACATTGCCGGAATACTGAATAATCGTGGCGAGGCTACTGACTCATTGCAACACACCAGACACTCGACCAAGGGGATTTTAATTCAATCGTCTGATTAACATACGCGACAGCTAAACGTTTCTACGTATACAGGCTGATTCATCTATGTATTGGTAGCTCTGGTAACTCGATTAACTTCTTGGATGAAATTTTTCAGTTACTATATTTTTTAACTTTTTACTAATTTTTCTTGAGCTTAGAAACTGTTTGGTTTTGTGAAGAATTTAATCTGTAAGTTATCAAATTGTTAAAAATTTAAAAATTCCTAAATCATTGAATTCTTAAACTCCTGAACTCTTAAAGACTACAACATTGAAATTTTCATATCTCAAATTTAATTTTGTAACTGTAAAAGATTTGTCAAATGAAAACATGCATATAACAATTACTTTATTAAAAAATTTAAATAATTTCCTAATAGTATTCCAGTTCACACAATAGCGTATTCGAAAATGTATTTTGAAGTTCGAAAAAGTTTAACATTTGGAGTCTACTAAAAGTTGCAAAGTTATAGATTGAATAAATAAGTAAATAATCGAAAAATTTAAGCAAACAAAAAAATGTCAGAAAAAAATTGATAAAAACCTGTAATATCTATTATTGCCGGTCATATAATCGTCGATTTTTATGAACATAAACATACGAAGAAGCAACGTGCTATAAACAGATACGCTGCTGGAGACTTTAATCGAGTGCACGTGTGCTTTCGGAATTTTTAACCTCACTTTTCTTAAAAACGTAATACACTACTTTGTACATACATATTTCTACTTTCCCTCGTTTCAGATTTCACCCTGTATACGCGATTGCATGTACAATGTATGCACAGTGTATCTGCATCATTAAACCATGAAATTCATGGTTAATGTCAAGGGCGACGTCATTCTTAGAAGGCCTAGGGACCACTATTAAATATCGAAGTTCGTGACTTTTATGACAACAGAATATACTGAATTATATTTTCTTTTCTAACTATTATAAATGCATTTTTAATTAGAAGAGAAAATACATTCTTCTATAAGTGAAAATATGATAATGTCTTGTTAATTTTATTTTCGTGCATGAATGATTTTCGTGCTTTAACGCAAAGTTGAAATCACGTCGATTTTGATGAAAATACGAACAGTGAAAGTGTTTAAATCAAATGAAAGTAGTATATTTATAGCGAAATCTGCATACGATTCTTCAGTTTTATCATTGCAGCATTCAATGTTGAAAAGAAATTTCCTTCAAATAGATTCGAACTTGAGTCAAAATATTTGAAGTTCGAACCGTATACTATTATACTATATTGCAGCAGAAATATTTGTAGTAAATTCTAGTGTAATAATATTTAATAATATTTTGTAATAATGTATGTTAGTGACATACATATTATTTATTTAGCGAGCACATTTGTGTACTCTTATTGCGTACATTAGTTCGGTAGTAAATAATTAGTTATCTTAAGTTATAGATAACTAATCTTTAGATTAAATTATTAATTTAGGATTAAATTATAGATATGATTATCATATTATCACAGAGGATTATCGTCACATCGTCGCATAGGAATATTGTCACACTAATACTACAATTTAATTGAAATTTACGCTTCAGGATCAAAAGCTTCATTTCGCAGTAAATAGTCACAGAACTGTAAAATAAATTCTGAAGGTCTCAAAATTCTAAACTGAACTTACAGTCACATTACCACATAAATTCTCAAAGTTACAGACTTGCCAAATAAACTCATTAAGTCACAAAATTACAAAATGTACAAAATAAATTGCCAAATAAATAAATAAAAGTTTACAAATAAATAATTGAAAATATAAATGACAGTAAATATAATTAAAATTACCTTCGTAATCGGTGAGGCTCTCGTCGGAACTGTTTCTGTGTATGCCAGGGGACGTCAGATTGTTATTCAAACTCTCGTTGTCGTTGTCGTTGTCGTTCACGTTCTCGTTCGAGGTATCGATCTGCACGTTCTCGCGTGTGATAGCGAGAGATGACCACGTGGTGGTATCCTCGGCGACACGGAAATCGTCGTTGTCCTCCAAGATGAAATCGGTGGACGAGGAACTCCTGGTGACCGAGGCAGCGTTCGTCAACGAGATGTCGTTGCGATTTTCGATTTCCTCGCTGATCGGCTGGTTCTGCTCGCTCCTACGAAGCTGACTGCGAGCGAGACAGAGGAATGAGTCCAAGTGGATCGATACGTTCCGTTAGCCGCGGCCCATACGATCTATGACGATGCAAATATAGGCAGCACACCTACGTAAGAACGTCTGCGAGGTGGCACGAGCTACTCTGCTCACCCACATGAACGCACTTCGTCAGGGTATTCTCTCGTTCGACCGCTTCAGATTCTCCAACACGAGGGATCAATCACGACTCATCAAGTTTGTTTATTTAACACTTTGACTGTCATATCATTAAAATTTGCGAGACCCTTAAATTTCGATAGAATTCTAATAACTATATTATTAAAAATTTGTTCGCTTTTTAACCGACTTCAAAAAAGGAGGAGAATTACTATTTTATTTACTTTCAATTTTGTTAATTTTGATAACAAAATCCATGTTAATTCCAGTCTAACTAATCCTAGTAATTTTTAAATCTTTTTAACTATAATTTTTCGAAGAACAATATACTGAAAGAACAATAAGAAAAATACGTGAAGTTCCCCTAAAAAATGCAAAATATCCAAGCTCGTTGCAGTCGAATTTGAGGGTCGATCGAGAAAATACCAACAGTGCGTGAATGTGCGTGGATGTGCAATTTCATCGATGGGACTATTGATATTTTGCATGACGTGTAAATCGAATAATCGTTTTTAAGCCATCGAATTCCATTTCTAAGTGTCGCGTGTTATACAAATAAAATTCGCAATGATCTCGTGCACACAGCATAATCTTTTTTAAACATCGTTCGAAGTGAGTTATGTGAATCTATCTCAAGCGATTTGGATCTTAAGCTGGGTTTACACGTTCATACAACTTGCATAAACGGACTTATACATATCATAGAATTTGTACAAGCAGATTGTTAGGTAAGTATGAAGAGAAATGTCAAGTGTCGGATAATTATTATCTACACGGAGATAACGAAGCTAATTGAGTGTACAGATATATGTTGAAGTTCATCTACCCGTGTCAATGTGTGTACAGCTATCAACTTTCTAAGGAGAAATAAATTTTAATTGGATGAAATAGTAATTTCTATTGGATTTCATTTTTGGGGACGCTATTAATTTACGAAAGGAATTTATTTTGTTGGATACTAGTAATTTATAATTAATAACTGTTGATGGTATTAGTTAACTGAAATGGATGTAATTATTAATTAAAAAAATTGAATAAAAATTTATAGTATAATCCGTTATAATTAGGAATTCATACTTTTTGGAGTTACAAATTTTTATTCTTCCATATTTGCAAATTTTCAAATTTTTAAATCACTAATTTTCAAATTTCTAAATTCCCAAATCTTCAAACACCAATTGTTAAAATTTAACATTTCCAAATTTTTAATCGTATAAACTTCCAAAAGTTACAATCTGAAATTTCGAATTTTCAAATTTCCAAATTTCTAAATCTTCAATTTCCAACTTGTAAAATCTCTAAATTCGAAATAGAGAAATACTCAAATTTCCAAATTTCCAAATTTATAAAATTTAAAATCTTTCATTCTCAAATTCCATAATTTTCAAATTTCCAAGTTTTCCAAGTTCCCAAACTTTTTAATTCCATCATTCCTAAATCTTAATTCTCAATTTTGTCAATTTTAAAATCCCTAAATTCCCAAATTCTCAAATTCACTTCCCAATTCTCAATTCGCAACATCTGCAAATTTTCAAAAATCCAAATCTTAAATTAGAAGTGCAAATGGTTAACCAAATAAAAAAAAGAACCTGTCAAAACCTATTTACTTCATTTCCAAGAATTTGCATCCAACTCCTCCAATAAACCCAAACTGCATAATCGTGTAAACTCAGTTGAACGAAAGTAAAACACCGCACAAAAAGTACATAAAAATTCCGTGTAATTGATCGTTAAATGCAGGTACAATCACAAGGAAAACAAATGAATCTTTGTATCGTACATCGTTAACGAGACAAGAACGCGTAACAATGATTGTTTGTTCAACGAGCTTGCACCTTTGATGAATAGGGGGTGGTAAAATCATTCATGCGACAATCACTTGTTGCGATCTGTTACGTGTGTCTGTGTGTCTGTGTATGTGTGTCGTTGTATGTGCGCTGTTTGATGCGTTCGATCAATGGACATGGATAAATATTTACAAACGAAGACATCGATAAACAAAATCTAGACGAGATATTATATTCTGGTCAACATCATAAGAAGCACGTATATACAGGACGTATCAATTAAAGCGGTCCTCTCGAGTATCTCCGAAATCGATACCAGAAAATATTTCTAATAAAAGTTCAATAATTTGGAGTGTGACATTCTTAATTAGTCTTCTGTAGGAGGGGTCAAGGGCATTTAAAGGTCACTTCTATTTTTTTAATGGAACCATATATTTTTTTATAACTATGTGAAAAATTATTCTCTGCAGAAAATTAAGGTATATTGAAAAGTTTAGGAAATATTTTGAAATTAAGATAGTATTGTTGTAGCATGACTACTGATAATATTATGAAGAACTCTGCTTTGGATGTTTTTAAATTGATCTTTAGTTTGCAAGTAGTTTATTACTATAGTAACATTACAGTAGATACAGCGTTTTCAAAATATCAAACACATAAACATTGGTAAACAATGGCAGGTTAAAATTAAAATATATTTTGAATTAATTTCTTCATATAATTAGGTCAGTATTTTTTTATAGAGAGTAATGATGTATTGAAAAATACGCGGATCAATTAAAAAAAAATTAGAGTTACCTTTTCCAACTACAAAAAGACAGTTGATTACGTCTCCTTCGAAACCATTTCACTTTTACACAAAGCATTTTCTGGAATAATAATTTTGTAGATATTCGAGAGGACTGCTTTGAATGAAACACCCTGTATATCTTGAATGCGTGCATGAAACAGAAAAGAAAGGAAAGTACGAACGGTAAACTGTATCAAAAAAGGGGGACCGTTTAGAGTCAACACTAACCTTATGGTTTTTCCTTTTCAGAAAATGCCATGGCATTGCTAATAATAAGGTACGGAATAAATATTCTACAATTTACACTAGATAAGTAACATTTAAAGCTACTCATTGCTAGATCTCATTGTCGGTGAAACTACTTGACTGAAAGTGATCTAATTGTACTAATTCTACCAAGAATCTCTTCGTTGTCAAGTTGGACAGAGAAAATTCTACTTGAATCACGCTAAAATAAACGGAGAATAAAAATATGGTTGCACTAAATAAGGTCTTTTTATACTACAGTATTAATCGCTCAACGTTTTACCTGTATTTGTACATTAATTATGGATGAGGTGAATCGATTATTTCCACGGAAGATTAAACGATACAAACGACATCAAACAAAGCACGTTAAACCACGCCGTTGTACAATAACGAGCAAAACTGAACAAATTTCATGTCATTCAAATGTTCCTTACATAATAATGTGTAAGAGTTTTTGGCAACGGTAAATGTCATTTAAAGGGCATTCTCGATGATACAATTTAATATTTAGTACCTATGTATTAAACATGTCAAATATTTAAGAACTTACGAGAATTACAAAAAATATAACTGAAAATCAATTAGCAGTAATTTACTGAAAATTGTGAAAACGAATGAGTAGCACGATATAGCCACGTATTTCTAACCTAATATCACATAAACCTGTTCCGTTTTGCTGCTTATCATACACAGACACCGACAATCAACGAAACTTCGTTTCTCCGAAAACAAGAACTCGCAAATTAATAACCTGCGGAACATAAATGCCACAAGTAGTAGCTAAAGAATCCAGAAAATCGGTGAAATCGCGAGGTCCAATTTGTCGAATATCGCAGTAAGTCACAAAAAGCTCGAGGATGAACGAAAGCGACGTCGAGACGAATCAATTGGCTACAGGACAAGAGTACAAGAAATATATATATAGAGTTAGAGAATGGTGGCACTTACTTGTTGTTCAGTCCTCCAGGATGCAGCGGCAACGAGACGACGGCCTCCCTGATCCGCATATCGGATTCTCGTCTGAAAACAGTTCGAATAAAGCTTGCTTGTCACTCCCTCGGAGTGTTGCTCGTGACACGTACACGCACACGTTACAACACCGCGAACCGCGTGGTGTTCATCGATCCCGCGGGATCATTTTCGCGGAGCAACGACAACGAAAGGGAGCAAAGGGAAAAACGCTAGCGTGCTCCGAATCGATCGTACGAGCTCAAGTTCCTCTAACTGGACGAACACCATCAAGGAAAAAGGGAATGGGACTCACCGACCGCCATGTTGAAGCCGTGCGCAAGGGTGCCTCGCGTTTCCCGTGGTTTATCGATTCGCAACCAACACCCTCGTTTAGTTCTCCTACCTTTGCTCGTCCTCCCTCGTTTCTCTTCCCCTTTTCTCCTACCCTACCCTCTCATCCTCCCTCTAACGCTATGCGCAACGTGCTTCAACCTAAACGCTTCGTTTCTTTTTAACTAACGAGGGAAACCCGGTGACTGATACACGTTTTTTGGAAAACAACTGTTCTATCTAAGAATAATCTGACCGTCTTTTTGCTTGGAGAAAATCGAAACTTTTATTTTATGCAAATTGTAAATCGTAAAGGGAGATGTTAAACAATATTTGAAACAAGAATTATTGTTATTGTTACAGTTACTTAGAAAGTTTCCTTAGACTCATATGTAAAGGGGTTTTGGAAACAATTTTTGTTGGTAAAAATTAAGTTACCTTTCCCCTTATTTTTTGGAGAATTTTAATTTTTGTTTTCGTTATGAATAAAAATTGAACAGTGTATTACAGTATACAGAGTATACAGTATACACAATTATTATGTATACAATTGCTACTTTTTGTGTATTTTCTATATGAGGAAGGAATTTTATATTGAATTAACTATTTTCAACTATTACTATAATACCTCAGCATGCTTTGTCCATGGACTTGGTTAAAAGGGTTGATTTGTCCCTCAGAGTAAACGGCCTAGATAGGTTTAATGAGAAATTGATCAAAGTTTTATCAAAATCAGTCAAAGCGGTTTCCCTGTAAGTATTTATTACGACTTGTATTTTGTAACTTCATAAGATGAAAATACTCCAATGATAAACCAAAAATAAGTTCAACTCTCAACCTCATCCAAAACTCTTAATACTTGTAAAATTTTCAAAAGATAAATTAATAATGATACATCGCAAACATTTATCCCCGTCGGTGTTCTTGAATCGCGAGACCTCAGCGATCCTAACGAATAAAAATTCCGATAATTAATTTCGCGATTCAGTCATCAATAAATCTTCTCTTTAATCTGACACGCGACGTGCAATCATTTTCTCCTTCGATTCATATAGTCTCCATCAATGTTACTTTTTGCACCACTTATCTCGTCGATCATCGTCTATTTCTCTTGCCTCGGACGTGCACAAAATTAATGAAGGTTAGTCCATTGAAAAAGCCACACAAAACATCATGTTCTCTTTTCCGATTGCTCCCCCGAGATTGAAACCATCCATGGATTACTTTGTGTATCCGTTTTACTCGTCTCGTAGCTCACCTCTTGTTACTCGACGCCTACTTATTCCTACGGCTTCTGTTTTCTCATCCGTTTACCTCGATCCTCGAAGTGCTTTAAGGAGCTACTTAAAACAGTACAGAAAGCGCAGAGAACGTTCCTTAACGTTTACACGAGACCCGCGACAAGCTACCGTAAAAATTAAATTGAAACGAGTCCTTTTAAAGTTGGAATCCGGTCTTTAGTCTTTCTCCGGGATGCTGAGAAACTTAATTAAAAAGAAACAGAACTTTTCAGGAAAGAATGGATTTAACGACTGAACGATAATTTCATGAGGACTCTTCTGAAACTGTATAATGTATTTTAGCTAGGACTATTGTATAGATATATCAGTAGGTAAAGTAGTCACGTCTCGAGGGCCAACGTGAATCTCTTCATCAATTTTAAAAAACTCTTCGTTATTAAGTTTATAGGAAAATTGTGAAATGAGTTTAGTTTTTTTGAATAATTTAAGACTTACTTTTTTAAATTTTTCATTTTATAATTTATTTTCTGTGATAGTATGAATTAATAGTTGATTGAGAAATAAGTATATGCATGTCGAAATTGGAAAATAAAAATATTTGATTTCTTGATGCAATTAAAGACCTGACTTTTTACATTTTTCGTTTAGTAAGTTATATTATTTATTTACTACTATTTAACTTAATTTATTAGCATTTAATATAATTTATTATTATTTCGTATTCTATGCACTATTTATATTTACTTTATTATTTATTTTACATTTTTGGAATATCAAAATGTACGAATTTGACGGAAATTTGCAGACGTTAAAATTATAAAATAAACGTATTTAATTTCTTGAACTCATTTGACATCTCATGCACTTTTGACTTCTTCTTAATTTGATTAAAGGAATGTCTACAGTAATTGAAATCAATTTAAATAGTTATAATAGTGTTATTCAAAACGTAGACAGGTTTTCGGAGAACTAATATTACTCTTGTAGACGTGATTCAATTTCTGTGAGTGAGTAAAATTTATTATTAATCGTGACAGTTAACGTCTGGACGTGAACAAAAGGGGATATTCCCCATTGCAACCAGAAATTCAATTTTCGGAACTTCTTCATCAAACATTTACTGGATAGGGATGAAAATTGTCAGCGTGAAATTGCAAAATGGAGTTCGTGAATATTTCATGCGAAATTCGATCTGAAATGTTTCTTCTACTTTTTTCAGAGAAACTTAAAAAAGGATATGCTACTTGTAAAAATATTAGTATTTGTTCATCAATTTCAACAATATACAAACAAGTATTTGTATATCAGTTTCGTATAAAAATATATAAAGAAACGATTGTAGAAAGAATGGTTATAATCTTGTATTTAAAATATTTTTATCAACTTCTTTTGATATAAAATATTTATTAGAGAAAAGGTATTTATTTATGCTTGAGCTGAAGTTTAATTTCAACCTATACATGTAGTTGAAATTTATTGAACCACACATTTCAATTATCCTAATGGATAACGGAGAATGAGTCTATCATAATTAAAATGTTTGATTAGGTCGTAATTAGTATAATTATTTTGTCATGAAAAAGTATAATTGGACCTAAAGAGCACTTCAGTAATATAGGAATACTAAATAATTAAAATAATTGATTAATGTAGGACATATATATTTTATTTACACTTTATTTAAAAATTTAAGATAGAAAGAATTTTTATTGATTGATTTATTATCAAAGAATTCATTAATAATAAATATTAATGTCAATAAAAGAGAAATTGAGTCATTGATCAATAAATATTAACATTAATATTGTACAAATTAGAACAATTAATTTATAAATAAATAGTGTACTGTTTAAATTGGAGTAATTGATCTATTGGTCAATAAACATTATTAATATGATTTAAATTGAAGCAATCGATTTATTCATCAATAAATATTAATACCAACGTTATTTAAATTGGCGCAATTTATTAATTGCTCAATAAATATTCCCAATTTCCCAATTTCCCAATTTCCTAATTTCCCAATTTCTCAATTTCCCAATTTCTCAATTTTCCAATTTTCCAATTTTCCAATTTTCCAATTTCCAAAATTCCCAGTTTCCTATTTCTCAATTTCCCAATTTCTCAATTTCCCAATTTCCCAATTTCCCAATTTCTGAATTTCTCAAATTAATATTATCACTGTTTCGTAAACTATAAAAATTAACATTTCTCTAGTCATGTCAATATTCTGTGAATATTAAATTTGTTGCATTTTATCAATTTTGTTTTATCATTTACATTACTATTATACAGTATCATTCATTCGTTTGGTGCCTGTTACTTTTCATACCAAACGTACAGCTAGCATAATTTGGCATGATTTTATCTGATATATTATTCTGACCTATTTGTCTGTCTAGGAAATATCGTAGACAGCATCAGACTGGAACCTCGAACGAAGTTAAGGTTGGTGTTGAGTGCCAAAGGTCGCTGACAACATAATTCTGATCGTCGTTACCTCCACAATTGACCATTTGCTTGATCGTTATTGATTGACCCAATAAGATTTTGTACCACCGAGCAACCAATAGCAATTCACATTGTAGGACATCCTTTCGTAAATACTTGTCAGCAAATAATTCATGATTCTATCGCTTCTCTTAACTCTGACAAATTTCCTAGCAAAATATTTGTGCTTGCGAAAGATTACTTTGAAATTGCAATACTCAATTTAGAAGCAATTCTGTTATCTCTATTGCTTTTCTTGATGAAATAAAAGGATTACTTTATTGGAAAATAATACAAAAATTAGCTACAATAATTATACTAATTTTTCGTTTATAGTAACTTCTTGTTTATATTGATTGGTTATACCACTTATTTATATTAATTTTTATAAATTAGTTTGAATTTTATACCAATCTTTGTTAACTGTATCTGATTATTAACGTTTTTGAAAGGATTTTTGAAAGTACTAATTTTTAGGAAATTATTTTTAGAACTAACTTTCAGACACATAAAATTATTAATTTTCGTAAATAGTTAAACTAAAGAATTTTTAGGTATAAATGAAACTTTTGACAATTTTTCTCAATTATTTTGGGTATCATATTTGAAATGTTCAAAGTAAAAAATATTATCAAATTAAAATCACGTTATATTTATTGTTACCTACTATTTTTTATTTTCATTCAAAACAAATTGTCAGTAATTAAAACTGCTTTTTAAAATTTTAAATTATTGTCACAGTTTCAAATTAAAGTTTTATTCGTCAATATTGAAGAGATACGTTTCAAGATATTGTTACAAGTTTCTACGAGTAAAATATGTACAAACTTTTTGTTTTAATGTCAGAAAGTATAACTTACAAGTTATGAGAACAAGTTATGCCTCAACTTGTTTTACACGCTATTGTTATACTACGTGATGCAGCATGGTTAAACGAGCAAACAAAATTTACAACTTTCTAGTTTCTAATTAGTAAGAAAAGTTTATAATTTTATAATTTCGAGAATA